TTTCCGCGTCTCCACCCGAGACGAATAAGAGCACTACCAAGAAGACAAATCCAGTAAAGGTGCCGATACCAACACAGTATATCATGATCTTTGGCCCTTCGATAGAAGCGTTGGGAATCTCCTCAATCATGTGAGCCACGGCGTCGTATCCAGTCAGCCCGAGGCCTCCTTGGAGGAGACCCAACAACCAAGCGATGCCGTCTGGCCAGCCAGTCTCGTTGATGAACTGGCGAAAGACGAAGTATCCCGAAGCATAGTGAGGAGAGGCGCAGGCCAGGACGGTGATGGATATGACTATGAAACCAGTGATGGACCAGGTTATAGCTGCCTTGTTTACGTATGGCAGTGCCGAGTTCAGGAAGGCATTTATAAGGAATGCGGCCATGTTGTATCCAATGTAGATTAAAAACTGATGCCAACGCTCAGGGGAGTAGTTCGGATTGAATAGCGAGATTACGCCGACGATGAGTTGAGAGCCCAAGAGTCCACCCGAAGCCACAAGAGCTATCCATCCGGAGACATTGATCCAGCCCGTGATCCAGGAAAGAAGCGGGACCCATCTCTTCCAGCTGATAACTGCGACCCAGTGATACTGTCCACCTGCGGTCGGGTATGCCGAGAGAAATTCGGCGAGCGATGCCGCCAAACACAAATTGCATATGCCTGCGGTTATCAAGCCCCAGACGACGCTGGTAGAACCACCGCTAGGAAGAGCGAGGGAAAGTGAGGCCGACAGGGCTGTCCAGGAATTGAGGATGGCAAAAGCAAGCCCAAGCATAGCAAGAGGGGAGAAGGACCTTTTCAGCTCTCCCCGATGGCCCAGGGCGGCCAATTGCACATCATCGATGCTCTGTTTTCGGTCCATGTTAGAGGCAGGGTCTTTTTCAACTCAGAATGAAAAGGAGAAGGTGGCGGCGACGCATTGGTGAGAAGTCTGTCTTATAATGTGTGCACGCGGATGCTGATGGCCATCGGGGGTTGTGACGAGCGGGCGGGCGCGCGCCAGCCAAAGAGCGGAGAGACGATCAAAGCAGGGTTCACCCTCGACGTCATCGGCACCGTAACCATCCGCCATTCCACGAGTGGAAGGTCGTCCCCGAGGCTTTTGAATGGGGAAGGGCCGGGGAAGCGGAAGTGCCATGTGAAGCAATGGAGGAATTGCGCAGACGCTATAGACGCGCGAATAGAGAAAATCGACGCAGGAACCGTTGGCTTACCGAGTCCATCGACAACGACTCTCGTATCGCAGAGAAGCTGTCTCTTTCATGGTCGCTCTCGGCAGCAAAGGTCGATGCCAGATCCACCGTCACGTCGGCGTCCGTCGGGAGAGGGAGATATCTCGCCGACATGTGGATACCGTCACTCCATGGAAGCGTCGGATCGTGAATACAAGGCCCTACGAGATACGGATACACAGTACGCCCTTTTGCCTTGTCTGCTTTGCGATGGCCTCGGGGCCTCGAGGAGGTCGGACGGGACCTTGAGACGGTCTAATGTCGGGATGAAAGAGCGTTCCACGGGCCGAGCCGTCGGTTGTGCTTCTTTGGCCTCGTCGGAGGACGTCTAGAAAGAATATTCACTTCCTCAGAGAGGCAGGAGACGAGCGAGGTTGACATTCAGACAGTCAAGCTTTCGGTTCCCCTTGGCGCTCCGATCAGAGCTCGGCAACGGCATCCCGAGGCTTGCCACGCGCGCAGCCAGTTGGCTTCATTACCCTCACCACGTTCACGCCCTCCCTATTCCTCGGTCCGCTTGAGGAAGCTCCTTCCCCTGCCATTCCCGCCTAGCGATATGCGTCGTCTATTTCCCTCGCTACCGAGACATCCATGAACGACGCCATTGGAGGGCCCGACACCAGCAACACCACCATGGCCAGCGTCTGGCGACGCCTGAAGGGTTCGCAGCAATACAGCCCGCTGCCTGTGACTGATAAAGACCTGCCGTCGCCGTCCAAATACCGCCATGACCGGAAAACGAACATTTGGAGCTTGACCATTGCGCTCACTGTCCTCATCACTCTTTTTGGTGTCTTCGAAATCTACCGGTAGCTGCTCCACCATGCTTCTTCCATACCTTCTTTTGACACTTCCCAGTGTGCTTGCCGCGCCGGCGGACAAGTCCTGCGACACCATTGACGATGGCTACCGCTGCAGCCCAAAGATCTCCCACTTCTGGGGCCAGTACTCGCTCTGGTTCTCCGTCCCATCCGATATCGACGTCGACCCTCCCAAGACTTGCGACGTGACCTTTGCCTCGGTCCTCTCCAGGCATGGCGGACGCGACCCCACAGCCGGCAAGACGATGCTTTACAAGATCATGATCGCCAATATCCAGAGCACAGCAAAGGCGTATCCTGGCGAATTTGCCTTTCTGAAGAACTACCAATACACACTGGGGGCAGACCAGTTGACGGATGCAGGAAGGCAAGAGATGGTGAATTCGGGCGCACACTTCTATCGGCGCTATTCTACGCTCATCGACAGCAAACCCCCGTTTGTCCGCTCTTCGGGCCAAGATCGCGTCGTCGAATCTGCTGAAAAGTGGCTGCAAGGGCTCGCTGAGGCTTCCAAGCAGGCTGTCGGCGACGTCGATGTCGTTATCCCAGAAGGAGCTGGCATAAACAACACGCTTAGCCATGAGATCTGCACTGCCTTCGAGGAAGGCGCCTTTAGCGAGACTGGTGACGATGCGCAGGCTATCTGGGTAGCCAAGTTCGTTCCTCCCATCCAATCCCGTATCAACTCAAAGCTTGGCACGAATTTGACCACGGCCCAAACCATCTATCTCATGGACATGTGTCCTTTTGACACCCTGACCTCGCCGACCGCACAGATCTCTCAATTTTGTCAGCTGTTTACGAAGAAGGAGTGGCATCAGTACGACTACTACCAGACCTTGGGCAAGTACTATGGCTATGCCAACGGCAACCCACTGGGACCGACTCAGGGCGTGGGCTACGTCAACGAGCTCCTAGCTCGGCTGACTGAGACACCGGTTGATGATCATACCAACACGAACCGCACATTAGATTCGGATCCCAAGACCTTTCCTCTGAATCGCAAGGTTTACGCCGACTTCAGCCACGACAACGATATGAGTGGCATATTCGGAGCCCTGGGTATATACAACAAGACCAAGCCGCTCTCTAATACGACACTGGAAAATATCGACGAGACAAAGGGCTACTCTGCAGCCTGGACAGTTCCTTTTGCTGCGAGGATGTATGTCGAGAAACTCCATTGTCATGGCGAGAAGGAGGAATATGTGCGGATTCTCGTCAATGATCGTGTTATGCCCCTAGAATTCTGCGATGCGGACAAGCATGGCAGGTGCAAGCTCGGCAAGTTTGTGAAGAGCCAGAGCTTTGCGAGGGGCGGTGGACACTGGAGCCAGTGCTTCACAGACTGACCAGCGTCTCGTTAAAAGTAGAACACATACATGTACATCGCCGCATCAATCTATTGTGCTTTATGCTATCTCACAGCTGAGAATCAACATACCGGCGTTCAACTTGGCAGCTTAAAAACACCTGCTCCCGTTCTCATCATGTCACAATATTCTTGTTCTTGCGGTGTGTGCGTGTAGCTTTGCTTCCCTCTCCTTCCTATCGCCTTGATTAATCACACCAGTTCCTCCTTCTGAAAGCCAGGTTTCAACTCACGATACCAAAGTCTGAATCTCACGATGAAGAGCAACATAGTAGAAGCCTTTTCCGAGTCGGCACGATACGCGATGCCATAATGTTTATGCACACAAACTCAAACACGTTCCAGCACAATAGCGAAGCAGCAAACGAAAGCCAAACACGCAATGACATTTCAATCACGATCTGCAGGCTTGAGGACAAGACAAGAAATTCTTTGAACTCGTAAGTCGCGCTCCAGCACCCGACAGTGACCATGGCTGAGCAGACGCTCTTATGCCAGAATACACGCTCCACAATCGCACAACATGTCCCTCCGTCCAGCGGCGACAGCAGATTCATCACGCCCACAGCACCCACACCTTCTCAATGCGCCCACCATCCCTCAGCAAGACGAGAAACCAGCACAACCCACACAGCCCAAGAAACTCTACCTCAAGCTCAGATGTCTCCGCGACACCCTCCATCCTCCTCCCCAAAGGAAACTCTTCCTCCAGCTCCGCCTGCTACGATCAACGCCTTGGCCAACCCCCGCTACATCTCCATCGAAGCCTCGCGCTAGGAGCGGCCATGGGTGGTGCTCGAACAAGATATGGAGGTTTGAGTATCGGAGGCGAGACGAGGTGCGGTTGAGGCAGCCTTGCTTGAGGGAGACTTGTCAGGGGTGCAGGGGGCGGTATGGAGGGTTAGTGGGTAAGGTGCGGGATCATGGCTCTTTTATTTCTAGAGATGGGATGGGAGAGGGGCTTGGCAACGAGAATGGCTGTGTTGATGTGGAATCGCGGAGGCCGGATGCTGGAGGGGAGGCGGGAGGTATATTGAGAAGAGACATTGTGAAAGGAGTGGAAAATGAACTGGCGAGGGGAAAGGTCAGGAAGGAGGTGCGGTTTAGGCATAAAGTTAGGATGGTGTTTGCGAGTAAAGTTGGGAGAATGAGGTTTGGAGAGGTTGTTGCTGCGATAAGGGACGGAGAGGGAAAGGACTGGCATATCGATAGCTTGAGTAAATAGTACTTGATATTGCCAATAGTGTCTTGCTCGTCTGTTCGCCCATCTTGGAATATGCACTATGAAAAGGTTTGTTAACGGAAGGACTACGCGATGATTGGATAGAGCTGAGCGAGTGAGTGCATTCTATCTGAAACATACTCATGTTGAAGGTCGACCAGTTCAAACCCTACAAGAAGCTAAAAGATGCATAGGAGAGCAGGTATTGAAAAGGAAACGTCACACCTGTAAAGCACCTATCGTCTGCACACTACGCGCAGCGCTGTGAGCCTAGTAAAATAGAAACTGTGTTTGAAATGAAGCCAACGTGAGACTTTAAGAGTAGTAAAAATGCAAAAACAATATACTAATGCCGATTACTGGAATTGAACCAGTGATCTTCGCATTTGATTGAGCATACAAGTGCGACGCGTTGCCACTGCGCCAAACCGGCCAATTTAATAATTTTTTAGTTTTTTATATAAATATAGCCTCAATTTAAAAGAATGATTCTGGTAGAAGTTGTGAGAGCAAAGATGAGAGGCTCCACCGCTCATTCCACCCAAGTGAGGGGCACATCGGCAACTCTTGGGCGCTAACGCTCGTTTGGATTGTGGGAGCGCGCATCAGAAACGGCCTAGCTTATCGGGCATTCCCGATTGGGTCGATGTCCCATCAATGGTCGAGCATCCGAACTGGGTGCTCAGATGGCATCTCTGCCGCAGCATTGTGAGGCGTCAGGAGGACTGTTAATGATGATACTAGAGGCAAGGAAGATTGGCGTTCAGGAGAGAGGTTGTGCTTCAGTCCACAAGCCTTGAGTCCTGTTCATTGAAATCAAAGAAACTTGGATTCGTCGCCTAAACTTCATGCATCTGAGGGAAATTGTCCAAGTTAAATACAAGCAATAGAAAGCACTGCATACATCCTTGTGATAGCAACATGGGCTGTCCTTTCATCAACATGCTGCCGGGTATTCTTGGATAGGACTCCACCCTGCAAACCTATTTGATACGTCCTCTTAGCAGGTACTTGGGTCCGAGCTTGAGAAGCAAACTGAGACTCTTTACCCAGATACGGTGTCCCAGATTCCTGCTGTGTGAGCTTGCATGTGGGCGTGACACCAAATTCTGTGCGACTGTCGCATCCGCGCAAGCATCGATGGTCCTCGAATATTCATATATCCAGCACTGGCGAATGCCACAAAAGAATAACACTCGAAAGTGTTGTGTGAATAAATATTGTTCGCTACGAAGGAAAAGGCACCAAGCCCTCCTCAGATTGCCATTCCCGCACTAGCGCCACCGAAGATTAGCCTACCGTCACTGCTGCCGGAGCATTACCTCAGTGCCGTGCCAGGCATCCTCGAACACTCCCACTTCACGAATCCACACCCAAAACCCCTTCACTTTCATACAGATCGGATACAAATCGGCCAGAAGATTCAGTTTCGTAACCACAAGCCAGGGACTTTCGAAGACAAGCTATGGCAGACGGCGGAGTGGACTTGGCCACGCTGACCGAGGACCAACAGCTCGCCCTACAGCAATTCACGGCCGTCACAGATCAGGATATCAAGGATGCGATCCCCTTGCTGCAGCGGTGCCAATGGAATGTCCAGGTAGGGCTTACATCGACGCACCCAGCTCCAAATTTCTTCTAACACGTTGCAGATAGCAATAGCTCGCTTCTTTGACGGCGAACCAGCCGAGGACCCGATCGCGGCGGCCGCAACCAACTCGGCACCCCAAGATACGCGGCGACAGGAGACTCTGCTAAACGGCTTCTCGAGTCCACGCTCTTCCTCCTCAAGCCGACGGATTCGGGTCGATCCAGCGCCGCGAGTCGTTCCGCAACCCGATAGCCAAGTAGTCCAGCAGGCCCCGCTCCTCCTCACAATACTATTCGTCCCCTTCAGCTTAGGTTATTCTTTACTCGCGCGCGCATTTCGACTCGTGGGTTGGATATTTCCCTTCATACCGCGCACATGGGGTCGCTTGACGGCTAGCAACATCAACACGCCCGCCTCGCGACGTACAACCAGCGGCCGCAGACCCCTAAACCCCCGCGATACAGCCGCACGTTTTATACGGGAGTTCGAGGAAGAACATGGTAGCAATGAACTGCCCTTTTTCGAAGGTGGCTACGCCGGTGCTCACGACCTCGCAAAGAAAGAACTCAAATTCCTCCTCGTCGTCCTCGTCTCCCCCGAACACGATGAAACGTCGTCCTTCATTCGCGATACGCTACTCTCGCCCGACGTCGTCTCGTTTCTGCGAGACCCGGAAAACAATATTGTCCTGTGGGCCGGAAACGTGCAGGATGCTGAGGCGTACCAAGTCAGCACATCGCTCAACTGCACAAAGTTCCCTTTCTCGGGGCTGATCGTCCATACACCACAGGTTTCGTCTACGGCAATGAGTATTGTAGCGCGGATAGCTGGGCCAATGCCTCCGACGCAGTACATTTCTAAGATACGGCAGGGCATACAAGCTCACTCGGAGCCGCTGACTCGGGTACGGGCACAGCGCGCAGAGCAACAAGCAACCAGGAGCATCCGACAGGCGCAAGATTCCGCATACGAGCGCTCGCTGGCACAAGACCGAGAGCGGGCACGTAAAAAGAAAGAGGAAGCCGAGCGCAAGGCAAGGGAAGAAAAGGAAGCTCTGGAACGCGAGGCAGCCAAAGAGCGATATGCACAGAACCTGGAGCAGTGGCGCAAATGGCGCGCTGCATCCATTTCAGCCGAGCCCGGAACAGATGATAATGATGTCGTGCGCATTAGTCTGCGCATGCCAAATGCCGATCGCATAGTTCGGAGGTTCGCTGCTGAGGCACACATTGAGGAGCTGTATGCATTCGTCGAGTGCTACGACTTCTTACAATCCAGCGACAGCCTGGAGAAGGCAAAGGAACCACAGGGCTTCGAGCACGAATACAAGTTCCAGCTGGTTTCGCCCATGCCGCGTGAGGTGTACGAGCTGAAGGCTGGCGGCACAATCAAGCAGCGCATTGGACGGAGCGGTAATCTTATTGTCGAGCGCACGGACGAGGATGCAGACGAGGATGAGTAAGAGTGAAATGATTCAATTATAACGGGCCACGGGCATTGGGCGGCGTTTTATCAGGGAGCATAGCATGGGTAGACGGCATGTTTTCTTGAGATTCTTGCACGTGTGTATGTATGAATACTACCACCCTCCAATGCTCTCTATTCGAAGCTTTTTTGTCTGTGAAGAAGCCGTGAGTTGCCTACCTGCTATAGTTATCTGCAGAGACATTTGTTCTAGCAATCGCCCCATGCCGCTTTTCACCCCCCTTCCATCACACGGCACATTCGTCTCTCCGAGCCCCCAGGCTTGCCCTCCGGACGGCGACGACAACGACGACGCCGAGGGCATTTAACTCTGGACGCCGTTGATCAGCGGCATGGTCGTTGAAGGCATCTGTGCCGGCCTTTTGAGTGAGGGCAAGAAAATTAGATGAGACTATATCTCATTATCCTCAGAGCGGAGGAACTTGGGTAAAAAAAAAAACCCCTACGCATGTCTTGCGCTGCTGTAATGGTGGTTGGGTAGGGAGCTTTACAGCACAGCACGAGTTGCACGAGCCCGATACCCGAAACTCCATAATTACTACTTATAAAATCCATAAAAACCCCACAAGAGAATGCAGTATGCAAATGGCCGACCCTCTATCCTTTCGGACAAGAGGATTCAATGGCTCACTGCGCTATGCACAAAAAAGGAAATCCAGATATGTCGAGATCCTCCCCATGCTTCGCCTCCAATGGCCTCTCAGTTGACAATTTGTTCTAGACTTCTTCCACCCGGCCCGACACACCCCTTGTGATGAACGCTGAAATACAAAAAAGGAAGTCTTGCAAACTGATCATGGTACTCACTCTGTCGATCCCTTGTCGATCGAACGAGACACGCATTCAAGCGCTGGATGTTGCTTGTTGTCGTTGCCAACCCCGACGCAGAGGCGGGTGATGAATTTTTGCATGGACAGAACAGAGTCACATGCGCCTAACGAACGGCAGGCTTTCCAGGGCGGAAGGGCGGCATATTCCATCGTAGGTCCTTGGCGTGCTGCATCGTCCAAAGCGCAGGCAAGGTCGACAAGGCCAGAGCTGGGAAAACAAACATCAGCCACCTTGGCTGAGATACCATTCATCAATCAACCAGCCTGGCCATTCGATGGAGTACGACCGTATGAGCTATGATCCTTGTCAAGACCATTGTTCCAAGAGCTACCCTTGCCGAACAGCATTGGACTCATCATATTCATATCTGTCGAGTCCGGTGCGCCGTTGTAACCGTTGTAGGCATTCCCATATATGGATCCATAAAAAGACATGTTGGGATTTCCCCAACCGCCGCTTAGGCCACCAGACATTGGTCGCTGGACAGGAGTACCGCTGCGACCGGTCCATTCCGAGCTGTGGAGCGAGTTCGCAGAGTCGCCTCGCACATGGGCAGGTGTGCGCATGGCGCTCAACGGAGAACCCCGCGCTCCATTGGCATCACCCAGGAAAGGAGACGAAGGACCCGGCGTGCCATTATACTGCCTATTCCAGATTGAGGTGCCGTTAGATTGTCCATCGGGGAGCGAAGGCAGATTGGCAAGCTGACGGATAGATGAGGTCGAAGCTGTCCTACCCATAGGGGTCGAAAACAAGGGAGGTGCAGCTGCTGGAGAACCAAGGGGCCTCTTGGGGTTCTGGACCATGTTCACGAAATCCGTGATCGAGACGGAGCCGATACCGTACGTAGAATCATCGATCTTAGTAGTGTCTTCGAACGTCTGCTCGGGTGGAGTTGGGGGAATGTCCTCGTCCTCCTCTAGAAGGGTATCCAAGCCTTCGTCAACACCAACCAAATCATCTACCATACGGGTCATCGCCGAGTCCTTGGCAATAGTAGTAGATGCAGATTCAGAGGGCGCAGCAACGCTGTGTGATTTTTGATCATCCGCAATTGGTGCCTCTGCGGGGATCAGCGGGAGGTCCATCGGTTCGGCGAGAATTGCGGGGGATCCGTCCGGGCGGTTGTGTGGGCTTGCGAGTAGCTCCGAAGGCAGCCCAACCTCCCGGTAAATGAAGCGCATGGTATCCAAATCTAGTGGAGCATCTTCATCTTGAACCAAATGCAGGCCGTCGATCATCAGATCCCTGACCCTCATAAGCATCTCGACGTTTGGGGGTTTCCGATCCAATTCGGTCCCCTTTTGCTTCAAGACATCTCCGTTATACCAGACCTTCATTGTCTCTGGAGAGACCAGAGGTTGGAATCCAAGAGTCTCGACGTCTTCGTCCAGCATGTATTGGTCTGTTGGGAGTTGTTCGGCGGGGAAGCTTGAAGCAAGCAGTGTAAGGGTCGCGGCATATGCCTTCCATAATTCCTGTACCTCGACCTCGGTCAAAGTCTTGGTCATGTTTGACTCGAGAAC